TATACATACACTCCTACAGCCATTCTTCTCTTGTGTCACATGTGTGCCCACATCTCTTCCCCCAGACCCACCCACAAATGAATCTTCCTTCACCCATCTACCCAAACATTCAAGTTCAACCCCAACAATCTACACACATTCCCCAACTCAGTAGACATGTGGAGTGAATGGATGAGATGTTAATAGAATTGAAAGCAAATATAAGTGCAGTGTAACCCCCTAAGATTGATGAGGTTACTGTAATCATAGAGGAGCAAGATAGCCTGCTATTGATTGTTTTAAGTGATTGTCGTAGGGAGTCTCTTTACTGATACATGTTTGTTCTTGCTAGGTAATCTTATTCCAGGGTGATAGTGTCTTGTTTGATCCGGGACCTACAGAAGAGGGTGTGTGTGTGTAATTACCAAAGGTAGTTACAGGATGAGAGCTATGCTTGTGGTGTACAGTCTTCCCAGCAATCATTGTTATATAACACTTTGAAACTTGACGGTTTTGGCCTCCACCACCTTCTCACCTAACTTGTTCAAACCATCTATCACTCTGTTTGCAAAAGTGAATTTTCAACATTGCTTTGGCAGCTCCATATACTTAGCTTAAATTTATGACTTCTTATTCCTAATGTTCCGGTTCTCAAGAATTGTTCCTTATCAATTTTGTTGATTCCTGTTACTATTTTGTACGCAGTGATCATATCGCCTTTTTTTTTTCTTCTATCTTCTAGTTTTGGCATATTTAATACCTCTAACCTTTCCTCATAGCTCTTGTCTTTCATTTCCAGAAACATTTTAGCTGCATATCTTTGCACTTCTTCCAGTTTGTTGATGTGCTTCTTAACACTTTTGCGTTTCCAAAGCGAGCGCTCTACTTTTCCTAGTGGTTTTGGACGTTCCATGGGAGCACGCGGTAATACAGAAAAGTGTATACTCTTTTCAACTTTTGTCACCTTAATTCTCGTCCTAGGTTTTTCAATTTTGTATCAATGTGTTTGCAATAGAATGTTCTACAGGACTAGAAACATATACACTCCTAAAGCACACTCCTTCCCATTTCCAACATTTATATAGCAATACTGTACTAATACATATGCAAGGTATGAAACACTGACCCCTGAGACATGGGAGGTGCCATCACCCAGCAGTAGTTATGTGGTGAAAGCGGCTTTGTAACTGGCAGATTAGGTTAATCAACTGTTCCCATTGCCAGTCACCAATATGACATCTTAGGAATTCTGGAAAACCTCGTTCTTATGAAGAGACAATCTGAGCATTAGTATATTCTGGTTGGATGACTGCCTCCAGTGACTCCCAGGCACCATATGCAACCCTAAGAGAAAGCTATAGTCCCCGTAGCAGTGGCGCAACATAGTCGCTCGGTGATGGAAATGGTTTTCGGGAAATCGGAATATGCTAGTTTTGAAAACTAGGTATATGTTGGTTTTGAGAACCAAGTATATGCTGGTTTTGAGGAATTAGATTTATGCTGGTTCTGGGAACTAGGTATAAGCCAAGGCTGTATCCAGGATTATGCTCAGGGAATCACAAGGAAGATCTATCCATAATTATAACAAATAAATTTGACAAAAAATAGCTAATGTCTCATTAATACAGAAATTTTACACACAAAACCTGGAAATTGGGAAGTTCATACACCATACACCCACATACAGCTTCCCGCTCCCCCTTCATTTCCATCAGTGAATTGCTTGCCTGGCTGTAGGTTGCAAGTGTTCAAGTCATGAAGAATATACGTAGTATAAGCTATGGAAACAGCAGAATAAATGGCTAAAAAAGTTACCTTACATATGCTCAAGAGTGTTATGATTCACCGTAAATGTAGTTTCCCGTAGTCAGAGACAGGATGTCCGTCTGGCTTAGCGTTGTCTCCCAAGGCCAATAACAATGTACAGTACTGACCTTCTCCAGGAGGCAACCCACAACAGTTGCCTAACTCCCAGGTATCTATATACTACTAGGTGAACAGATGCATCAGGTGAATGGAAACTTTGCTACTGCTAACGAAATCGAACCTGGGACCTTTCAGCTATGACCCGACTGTGCTTGCCTCTGTGCCATAGTTGACATTAAGGCTAAAGGAGGGAACCCTGTAGTGCAGTGTTCTATGTTGCTGAATCACAACCAGGGAACTGTAGTTCAATTTCATTCCTTCCTTCCTTTTCCTTTCCTTTCACCTGATGGTCCTGTTAACTTACCAGTAAATACATACCTAGGAATTAGGCAACTGTTGTGGGAGGCATCTTGGAAGGGGAAAGGGAGTTATCAGAGGAAAGTGTCAAGTCATTATGACTACAGTATATGGCATTTGGAAGGAATAAGGATTTGAGATGCATCTTAGAGAAGGTCAGTAGTATTTTGGAGTATTTTGATAATTCTAAACACAGGTGTCTTGTCCCCAACCATGGGGAACCATGACTTTATCTCTCATTCCTTAAATAGCCTTTTGTTCCACAATGAATGCTACTTTGATTACATTTTTCTGGAAGAATTAATAATGTGAAATAAAAATCATCCAAACTTTAAACAAAACACAGGTCCCTAAATTAGTTTTTTGCTACTTTTTTAAATACAGAAATGTCAAAGGCATTGATTATACTATGTTTAATATGCTTTGCATTACCACACCTGTACGCATGCAAGACACAATTTACATCTTTCCAGTTAGTTTAGCTTGTGGGTATTTAGCATACTTATTAGATGATAATAATTTTAAGCTGAAAGTGCAATACTCAGACAATGCTTTTTTTAGTTCTATTTACTCTCATATACATGTATGCCCATAAGTTTATAACACTTCACATCCCTTCTAACCATCAATACATACTAGTATTTATATCTATTCATTATCCATAAACAATACTATGGACAAATTTTCACATACCATAGAAAATAGATTCATATACTGTATCATCACTCATTTACACACTAGTTTCATACATTTCAGACATGTCGAAACAATCATAAATAACAAACTTCAATTGAAGAAACAGACATTTATACTAATAAATGATTTCTTTTTTTTTTCATGGAGGGTCTGCTTATCATCATATTAACTATATTTCTATTACTATAGATGAAATCTTGAAAAGATATATTATAATCAACACATTAACACTGCAAGAGTATAACTTTCCAGATATATTCTTGTGAAGGTGAGAACATCTCGTTCACAAAAAGAATTGTACTTACATGTTGACTGGCTTACATATGTAAGCCTGCTTTTAGAATTAACCATTGAAACTGCTAAAATATGTAGTATAACCTTCAACATTTTATATAGAGAATGTCTTATAATGTGATTATATACAATATAAAAAATGTGCTAAAATGAACCATATTAAGCTGAAAATGTAAACAATAATTAATAATTTTTGTATATGTATAATATACTTCTCAAAGTTATACTTGTCATTCAAAGTTAACATTATTTGGGAATGTTTGGCAGTAATAGGTGATCTCAGTTTTGCATTTATACAATATTAATGGAATGACTGTTGTCAATAATATATGAAGAATAAACTACAATAAACTTTAAACAATCCTCAAAACTTGATTTTTTAGAAGTGAATGAAGGGGTTGTAATTTTATATTATATATATATATATATATATATATATATATATATATATATATATATGTTGTACCTAGTAGCCAGAACGCACTTCTCGGCCTACTGTGCAAGGCCCGACTTGCCTAATAAGCCAAATTTCCTGAATTTATATAATTCTCTATTTTTTTTCTTATGAAATTATAAAGCTATCCATTTCACTATGTATGAGTTCATTTTTTTAAATTTGAGTCAAAACTAACGTAGATATATGACCTAACCTACCCTACCTAACCTAACCTAGCCTAGCATAACCTAACCTAAACTAACATAGCTAAGTCAATAATTTATGTTCCTAATATAATATAATAATAATAATTCAAATAAACCAATTGGAAACAATTTGTTGAAACAAAAAGAAAATCACTCGGCCTATTAGGCAAATCGAACTTTGCATAGTAGGCCAAGAAGTGCATTCTGGCTACTAGGTACAACATATATATATATATATATATATATATATATATATATATATATATATATATATATATGTCGTACCTAGTAGCCAGAACTCACTTCTCAGCCTACTATTCAAGGCCCGATTTGCCTAATAAGCCAAGTTTTCCTGAATTAATATATTTACTATAATTTTTTTCTTATGAAATGATAAAGCAACCCATTTCTCTATGTATGAGGTCAATTTTTTTTTATTGGAGTTAAAATTAACGTAGATATATGACCGAACCTAACCAACCCTACCTAACCTAACCTAACCCATATTTATAGGTAAGGTTAGGTTAGGTAGCCAAAAAAAGCTAGGTTAGGTTAGGTTAGATAGGTTAGGTAGACGAAAAAACATTAATTCATGAAAACTTGGCTTATTAGGCAAATTGGGCCTTGAATAGTAGGCTGAGAAGTGCGTTCTGGCTATTAGGTACGACATATATATATATATATATATATATATATATATATATATAAGAAATTATACTAAAGTACTCTATATAATTTTAAAGTGGGAAAGCACTGCTTCTGTTTGGTAATGCAGGCACAGTAATGACAAAACTTTTGAAAACAATGGATATGGGTTGCATAATGCTGACTTGCAATAACCCAACCTGTTATTGTCACCACTTACTTTTAGTTACAAAGTGGAAATAATTGAAATTGTATATGCCAATATTTCTCAATCAATAATACTGGTATATACTGTACTACAATACAAGTAAAATGCCGCAATACATGCACGCACTTTACGTAACCTTCAGTAATATGAGTAACCTTCGGCGATGATGTCATTATTTACTCACATGCTGCCTTAAGGTATGGTGAATATCGAAGCAGCAGTGGTTTACGCATCATGCAGGCTCACCTGGAAAATAAATTTAAAGTTATCAAGATTTAGTACTATATATAATCATCTTAGCAATAAAAATAATAATACAGTAATAATAATAATAATAACTTTATTAATAAAATATACAGTACATAAGAACATATTACAGCGGTATATTTGTAGGGAAAGATTGTATATTAAATAAAGCCTTTAATATGCGAAACATTTCGGGTATAGCTTAAAATAATTTTTTTAAGTTTAATAAAATTAATCATTTAATTCTAAATAATAAACTAACATATATGAATTGTTTAAGAAATTTAGCAGATTATACAGTCAAAATTTAAGTGGTGTTTAATCACTAAGGCATAAACTATTGTGTTAAACAATGTGAAGCTTTAGCAATATTACAGATACAGTATTTAATATTTACAATAACAGTAGAACATTAATTGATTCATTTACAATTAGTGAATTTTACAATGCTGTATCTTTTGATTGTTTCGACATGTGCATGATTAGTGGCTTTACCAAAAATATATTTGTGTAAACACTGAAATAAGTGTTTATATTTTGTATAAACACAATATTATTTGCTTTATCATTATTATTATTCTGTACATTGTTCTAAAAATTCATTCTGGGAAACTACATACAACTTAAGGTAACAACTGCCAGTACAGGTAGTTGCTTATCCTTTTGAGTGATTTGTTCTGGGTTTGAGTCCTGGCTTGGGAGGATTGTCTGGGTGCCAGTCCTTAACTGTCCACCTGTTCACCCAGCAGTAACTGGGTACCTGGTTTATACCAATTCGTGGGTCATGTTCCAGGGGAAAACTAGTGGGTAAGGCTTACCATGGGAAGGGAAAGCTCTCAGCCTGCTAACAGGAGTTAGAAGTTGTCTGTTCATGTACCCACCTGTAGAAAAAAAGTGTTTGTTATCGTTCTATTCCCTGCTAAGAAAACGACCCACTTTAATGTGTTATAAAGCTGGGAAAAATTAAGTTCAGACACACTTGAGGTGTGAACTCAGAGAAAAGGAACTTTGAACGAATTACCCGTTAGTCGAAACTCCTTCCGCACTACACCACTGTTCGTTGTATGTGGTAATTTGTTCACCTTAGCCATAGACACTCCCGAACCATGAACATTTTTAATAAATGTTTATTAAAAAAACTTAAAATGTAAAACCCAAATAAATAAATAGTTACTTTATTTATAAGATAACTTCCATAGACTAACGAGGTGATAATATTGCAGAGATCGTAAATATTTGGCTATTTGTATTGCCAGAGAAAGGCCCTCTAGTCCAGCCACCGACACCAAACACCTTGAAGGCAGAGCATAAAGAGCTAGATCTCACTCCTCTGTAGTCACTTATAGGTAAGCACACTCCATTTGTTATACACAATGCAGCTTTTCCATGGTATTTATAGCCTGTGGCATTACAAATGATATATTTATTCTATCTTTTAGTTTACAACAAAATAATACAGGTGGGTTATGTATATAAACGGCAATAAATATTTTGTGCAATCTGTTCAGTTAACCTAATGTTGGCAGCAATGTAGGTCGATCGGTGAGTGAGTGAATACAGTACTGTAAATGCTTATATTATCTAAGTGTAGTTACAGAATGAGAGCTATACTCATGGTGCCCCATCTTCCCAATAATCTTTTATAATACGACACTTTGAAACTACTGATAGTCTCACTTTCATCGCTACTTTCACTGACAATACAAAAACTAAAATTACCCACACAACATTATTAAGCAAGACCTGACATACTGCCCAATATGTACAAGGTTGTAAGGCCTGAGTGAGATCTCAGGCTCACTTTGGCCTCAGTCCCAGTCCCAAGCAACTGAAGAAGCAAGGGATGATCTTAAAAGAAAAACTTCAGCCGAGGCACAAAGGGGACCAACACGGAGATAAGTCATTAACACCAGTTTGGTGAAAGAATACAGATGCATAAATATATGAGTAAATGTACACAGAGCTATATACTGTACCATAAGCAAACTTTATGTAAAAAAGTTTTCAGGAAAAACAATGTCACAACTAAATGCAGTCTTCACCCAGCATGATATGTTGGCTAGGGAAAATCCAGGATAATTAATAATAATAACAATAAAAATAATAATTAAGTATAGCTAAATAAGAATACAATTTAGGCACTGATATCACAGTCAAAGCCAGACTGGTCAGCTAGCAATTGGAAGAGTGATATTTAGCAGTCTTCCTTGGGATTTACAAGGGATTAAAAGCTCTGCATCATTTATTCCGATACCCACCTGTGTGAAAAAACCAGCGTTGAATGTAATGAAACGCCATTTTCTGGGTGAGACCTGGAGGATTCCCAGAGCTTACTAGGCTGATATGCTAATGTCAGACTTTGGCATCAGTCATGTGTATGGAGTTCTGTGGGCCTACCGGGGACCACGAGCCAGAACCTGGCCCCCCCCCCCTCAGAGAGGCATGAGGAGCAATGGCCTATAGAAACCCCCATGTGGTTGGAAGCATTCTATGTCTGCCATCGACCGGGTCAGGCACCCAGAAAGGTAAGCATCCCAAAACAAACCCCTATTCTGGTGAAAATTTTGCTACCCAAAGCCGAACAAGTGGAAAGAACTCACATGAAAGAAACGAGCATGACATCACACATCGCCGCGCCGCTGTCTGCGCAGCTTCCCCCTCCCTGGGACGGAGAAGGGGGAGCCCCAAACCCACAGAACTCCATACACATGACTGATGCCAAAGTCTGACATTAGCATATCAGCCTAGTAAGCTCCGGGGAGCAGTAGGGGCTTCCCCCAGAAAGTAGGGTTTAAGTGAACACATCCACAAGGGCCGTAACGAGGATTCGAACCTGCGTCCGGGAGCATCCCAGACACTGCCTTACTCGACTGAGCTACGGCAGGGTAAAAGAGTCGAAACCAAAGTTCTACTGAACTTACTGGATCCCGCAGCCTCTCCGAGGCACAAACCAGGGTTTTACACAACTCCCCCATGCACTCGAGCTATGTCAATAGGCCGTTCTCCCTCTTCGCCCTTATATCATTATATCATTACACACAGAAATCACACTAACATGATGTATCATTTGATGCATCACGTTAGTGTGATTTCTGTGTGTAAGGGTTTAAGTGCTTACCTATCAGTGACTACGGGGAAGTGAATCTAACTCTTCATGCCCCGCCTACCAGCTTTGTGGTACCTGTTGCGTTATAATTTATCTATTCTGACGCTCAAATTCTTTCTGAAATCTGGTTTTAAAGTTGTAGATGGAAGTGGCTTTCACAATTTCTTTCAGTGCATTCTACTTTCTGGCCACCCATACAGGGTACAGATATTTCCTTACATTTTTTTACTCATTTGTGTTTCTGTGGGCGAAGAATTATAAAAAGGCCTTTCCAGACTAGATAAAAATTTTCTCCAGTTTCTCAATCCCTATTTCCATTATTACCAGGCAGCAGTGTTTGAAAAAGATTCCAGCAGTGTGTATTTATCGACCTTCGATGTTGTTTAGCTCCATCCTTGGGAAGAAATTTACCTTTGGAGCAACCAAGTGTCTAGCTCAGAAAAGCATTCCTTTTCTTATTGCTGCTATCAGCAGTGGTTAGTTATGCACCCCATACTCATTCTGTGGGCAGTAGTTTATTGTGCACCCAATACTCATTCTGTGAGCAGTAGTATACTATGCACCCTACACTCATTCTGTATTCACCTAGTTGTGCTTGTGGGGGTTGAGCTCTGCTCTTTCGGCCCACCTCTCAACTGTCAATCAACTGTTACTAACTACTAACTAATGTTTTTTTTTTTCACACACACACACACACACACACACACACACATCCTCAGGAAGCAGCCCATAGCAGCTGTCAAACTCCCAGGTACCTATTTACTGCTAGGTAACAGACGCATCAGGGTGAAGGAAACTTTGCCCATTTGTTTTTCCGCCGGCTGCCGGGATTGAACCCGGGTACCTAGGTCCACGAGTCTAGAGCACTGTCCACTCAGCTAGCCAGCCCCAGTAGTTTATGTGAGCAGTAGTTTATTATGCACCCCACACTCATTCTGTGAGCAGTATTATAATGAGCAGCCCACACTCATTTTGTGAGCAGTCATTTATTGTGTACCCCACTCTCATTCTGTGAGCTGTAGTATACTGAGCACCCCACACTCATTCTGTGAGCAGCAGTTTATTGTGCACCCCACACTTATTCTGTGAGCTGTAGTATACTGAGCACCCCACACTCATTCTCTGAGCAGCAGTTTATTGTGCACCCCACACTTATTCTGTGAGCTGTAGTATACTGAGCACCCCACACTCATTCTCTGAGCAGCAGTTTATTGTGCACCCCACACTTATTCTGTGAGCTTATTCTTTTTATATTTCACACTTATTCTGAAATATAATAATAATAATAATGTTTATTCAGGTAAAAGTACATACATTGAAAATGAGTTACAAAAAGAATATTGGATTTCTAGATAGAGCTAGTACACACAATGCCTAAAGCCACTAATACGCACAACGTTTTGGGCAAACCTTTATCTTTTCAAAAATAAATTGATAAAGCCACATTTACTGTGGATATAAGTCATGTCGTACACAAGACAATTTGCCAATGAATTTTAAAACCTACCTTTACCAAACCTGGCCTAAACTAATGCAAATTAACTTAAGCTAACACAGCCACACTTAATACTGTAAGAGGTCAGTAATTTGGATTCCAGTAACCCAAATCTGCTAGTAATCTGAATGAATTTCCATTCAAGTTTTGTACCATTTACTCAAATAGGAGCTCAGATTACTGTACTGAGATTTCTGCTGAACAAATATCAGAATAAATTTCAATTCCAGTTCTTAATCTTTCAACTCAAATAAAAATGTGGGTTACCAAGATATCTGCTAAACAAAAACCTGAATAAATTCAAATTTTTTAATTTGTTTGGACATTCCCGATAAAAAATTTGGGTAACTCTCTAGTCTATGCTATGTCTTAAAATGTCTAGCTAACTTAAATGGTGGTGGGGCCTATATAATTCAGATATGTAAACATATACAGTGCAGCCTAACCTAAGCTAATACATCCTAACTTAACAATACATACAATTCTAACAAGAAATAAGCTTTATTGAATTGTCTCGTGTATGATGTGACTATATCCCATTTACTGTACCTCCTTGATGAGTGAAAGACTGGCAATGAGGAACTTGCGTGCTTCTCCTAGAGATGTTTTCCTCACCTACATCTCTAGTGCCTAGGTGCTCATTTAGCTCACTTTCAAATATTTGTTGACTGTGACTTGTAGATACCTCAGGCAAGGTTGGCATACCTTAGGATATTACAATGTATCAGTTCTACAGCTATATAATAAGGCAACTCGTCCTCCTAATAGAGCATCGAATTTTGACGCATACTCTACCTAAGGCCAAAAACTGTCGTACTAAAAAATGGTAGCAGCTTGCAAAATTGACATACTGTCCTGATTTTTGTTTTGGGTCCTCTGGTAGGTTAGGAGAGGGCACAATAGTACAACTGTTTCGTGACGTTGGGAAACCTTAGGAGGACGGGCTGAATAAGGAGAAAATATTGTGATGGAAATAGGGAGTACATGAGTATATGGTTTATACCTATTTCTCAATTTCCAGGGGATTTTTATGTTCAATTTCTGCACTAACAGAGATATTTATTAGCTATCCTCTGTCAAATTTCTATCAGCTAAAATGATTTGTTTGTTATAATTATGGATGGACCCCCTTGTGATCCTGGACCCAGATTCATAAAGCAGTCATGCAAGTACTTACAAATGTGTACATCTTTCCTCAATCTTTGACAGCTTTGGTTACGTTTATTAAACAGTTTACAAGCATGAAAACGTCCCAATTAATTAACTGTTGTTATTGATATAAACAGCCTCCTGGTGCTTTAGAGCTCATTAACTGCTTAATAATTGTAAATAAAGCTGCCAAAGATTGAGAAAAGATGTACAGGTTCGTAAGTGCTTGCGTAACTTTTTTATGAATCTGGATCCTGGAGCATAAATTCTGGATATAGCCTTAGTGTATACCTAGTTCCCAGCACCCATGTATACCTAGCTCCCAGCATCCATGTATACCTAGCTCCCAGCACCCATGTATACCTAGCTCCCAGCACCCATGTATACCTAGCTCCCAGCACCCATGTATACCTAGCTCCCAGCACCCATGTATACCTAGCTCCCAGCACCCTTGTATACCTAGCTCCCAGCACCCATGTATACCTAGCTCCCAGCACCCATGTATACCTAGCTCCCAGCACCCATGTATACTTAGCTTCCAACACCAGTGTATATCTAACTCCCAAACCAGCATATACATAGTTCCCTAAACCAGTATATATTGTACCTTGTTCTCAAAATGAGTATATACCCAGTTCTGAAATTGAGTGTCTACCCATTTCTGGAAAAGAGCATATTCACAGTTCCCAAAGTGAGCATGTATCCAGTTCCCAAAATGTGCAGATACCCAGTTCCCAAAATAAACATGTACCCATTTTCTAAAATGGGCATATACCCAGTTCCCAAAAGTTATTTCCATCAGTTATAATGGTGAATATGATAACAATTGGTGGTCTAAAGCCTCAATTGGTCATCTGAAAGTGTCGTGAATGTATCGTAAGACGACCTTACGTCTATTGTAAGGTCGTCTTACGATACATTCACCGGCAACCCTCTTTTTGTTATTTCTCAGGGCTAATGCAAATTATTATGTGAAGTTAGATTAAGTAGCTAGGTACAGGTAGATGTAAAAAATGTTTTACTAATGGTTTTATGTCATTTAGTGCAGGTCAGGTCAGATCAGGCCTTGTTTTGCTTTATTAAGAGAGGCTAGGCTAGGTTAGGTTCAGCTAATTAAGATAACCAGTGTTTAATTTAAGTAATAAATGTGACATAACATTTTTAACCTAAAAAATTTATTTTTTATTCAATTAAAGTGTAAGATCCACATATTTCAATTACTGTATCCATGATAAAATTGACAAACGTACTAACAATATCTGGTCATTTGACCTACCTGAGGCAGCATGGGTCACATTCAACTGAAAGTTGGTATTACATTGTACAGGTATACCACTCTCTGCCGATGCTGATGTTACACAGTGTTGATGCACTCCTTTGCCTCCTTCTGTAATGTATTTTTGGCCAATTTTATAAATTACTGTAACAGATTTCTTTATCAGTTCTGTAGTTGCTGGCAAATAGGACACAATGTGTCTTTCATAATTTTGTGACTGTTACATTTAACCCTTTAAACTGACCCCAATCACCAGTGTGATTTCCATATTGGTTTTGTACACTATTTTTTGTCATGCACTCCACAATGTTGAAGTTTTAATTAGCCGAGCCATTTAAGGCTTTTTTTTAACATAATAAAGTACCCTTATAAATAGGGGGACATCTTATGTATAAGTGCATCTTATATGCCAGAAAATACAGAAAATATTGATAATTTAAAGCTAAAACAATCACTATGCAAAACAAATTATTTATTTTGGAAGCACCAACAAATTTGTTACCTAGTAAACATTTTGTATACAAACATTAATTTTAGTACAGACCACATACCTGATACAACTGCTGAACCATAAGGAAGACATTGGCTTGAATTGGTCATGAAACCAATGTGTCCCACTTCTGGTTCACCATCATGTTGAGCTACAAGAGGACTATGTGACTTTTGCAGCAATGGTGGTTGATGTCTCTGCATCTTGATATCAAATTCTGGCGATGTAGAATATTTGGGTTCCCGTATTAAAGACGTGGTGCTTTGAAAGTGTTCTGCACCTGGTTGACGCTGGTGATATTGCTGAAGAAGCTGTTGACTGGACTGTATTTTGAAGGTCTGAAAATACTGAGGGGATAACTGGCTTTCAAAAATACCTGAAGAGCGGTCCTTTGAACAGGTAATTTTGCCATCATCCATTGGTTTATAACTGCAATCAGGAGACGCAATAGTGCAACTATATTTATGATTACCACTTGGGATATTTGTTATATTACTTTCACTCGGCCGAGGGCTGCTCGAAAAAGTCATTACACTTATTCTACTCTGTTCATAGTTGCCTGTAGAAGGTAAATTGTCACTTGTCGTTGGATAGTTGCCTGAAGTAGATACACTATTCACATTTCTGTTTTCCAAACTGGTGCCTGTAAACAGCATACTACCACTGCCAGTTTGTTGGCTGCTGTCTGAAGAAAATATTGCTACACTTCTGTCTTGTACATACTGATTTCTAGGACTCAGGCCTACACTTGTACTATGTTCATAATTGCTAGGTAATGATAAAGATGTACTTGATCTTATATTCTGGCCAAAAGTATCAGGTGAGAGCACATCCACCCTTGAATTGCACGTAGAAGTTTTGACTGAAGGTAAATTTGTATTTATATTTTGGTCACAGTTACCAGGTGAGCGTGCATCCTCAGTGTTCTGATAACTGTATGTTCCAGCAGGCTCATATCTACCCACAGTATGCATATGGCCAGTATCATGCTGTTGAGGACTTTCTGTATATGTTCCAGCTTGCTGAAGATGGTCTACAGTAGATATGCGGCTAGTATCACAGTGTTGAGTACTCTCTGGATATGTTCCAGCTTGCTGAAGATGGCCTACAGTAGATACGTGGCTAGTATCACACTGCTGAGTACTCTCTGGATATGTTCCAGCTTGCTGATGATGACCTACAGTAGATACACAGCTAGTATCATGCTGTTGAGGACTCTTTGGATGACTACCTACAGTAGGCATGTGGACGGTATCACTTTGTTGAGGACTCTCTGGATACATCCCAGCTTTCTGATAATGAACAACAGTAGACACACAACCAGTATCAGACTGTTGAGAATGCTCTGAATATGCAAGATCATTGTTGCCAAATTGTTGATCAGGAGTTTGGAAGTAATTCATATTTCCTTTGTGCAATGCTGAAGTAGAGGGGTATGACTGGGAAGAGCCAGTTGAGCAGTTCTCCTGAGCTTGATCACTACATGACAGAAGAGTTTCTCTATCAAAACTAAATTTATTTGTTACGAATGAACTGAAACTATCGGTTGAAACAGTTGATGTTTTGCACGGTACACTGTGCCACTTGACTTCATCTACATCTCTGACTCTAGTTTCATTTAATGCAAGAGATTTTTTACCAATACATTCTGATGAACTAAATGCATCAAAACTGCAAAATCGTTTTGGCCTACTCTGGAATGGATTGGCCTCATTGCAATCTTCCTGATTAATCAAATCATGACTACGAGTTTGTTGACCTGTAGTATCTGAATGTGTTGATCTTTTATTTCCTGAATGTTCGTTTTCCAAGCTTATTCCAAAAGAATCAACAGATTTAATCATATTTTGCACTGTTTCAGGGTTCATCATTTGTTTCAGAATCATCATAAGCTCTGGTGGCAGCTGAAAAGATATGCTAGCATTAAGAACGTTCCTCTCTCAAAATATATGATAACAAAAATTACAAAAAATTAAATGCAGAACAGTATGTTCTCAATTTTCTAAATCAATAGGAACTGAACCATGGTCATTATTTATGGAGTTTTATTATATCCAGAAGTTATTAAGCAGTTATTGTTACCAGGGACATTTGCTACTTTTAACCCAAAGTATTTTTATTAGTGCAAAAAATAGTATAAATATTTGTGGATATAATGATCGTAATTAACCATTTTACTACAATATTTGTTACTGATTGAATAAATAAATATAGGTCATTGCCTACTTTTCTATAGATGTCTATTAAATAATTTATAAATGCTCTGATGTTCGACCAGGTCCTCAGGCCTTCAAAAGTAAGAGTCTTCAGTAAGCCTTCAGTAAAAGCCTTCAGTAAATACTGTACTGAACTCGTGATTCAGTCAAAGGCTAAGTATCAACCACACGAAAACTGCTGACTGGAGGGAGGGAGGATTGCCAGGGAGCCTCCGAGGCTCATGCAGAAAATGGTGTTTCATTACATTCAATCTGGTTTTCTGTGGGGAGCCCCTTTGGCTCCCTGGAACTACATAACTAAAGATAAGAAAAGAGGGACTTATCCGGGAGGCGGCTGTTACATACTCTTCAACGCTGAGTCAAGACAACGGGCTGCAACCTACAACCCAAAGCAACACAAGAACGCCCAGGCCCAGGAATGTTAGCCAAATATTGGGTGGCCAGGACCCTGTTCGATCTCCAAAATCCCAGCTCCCGAATATCAGCCTAAGACATGTTGCCAAACACAGCAGCAAATGCAGCAAACTTCCTAACGTCCTGGGCACAAGGATAGACCGCAGGCTGGCTAGACTTTAACCCTGCAGACAACCTGAGAAACCTGAGCCCTGGAACAGGGAACGACGGAAACCGGATTAACCCAAAGCGCATTCCCAGCCACAGAAGCCGAAGCATGCAGGTACAGTGTGTCCTCACTTCAACGAACTATATGGGGCGAAGCCGATTCGTTCCAGTGCGGAATTCGTTCCATCCCGGGCAGAGCCATCCTCCATACCCTCTACCCCTGAAGAATAGGCAGAATCCAGGGGAAAGGCTGAAAAGAAAGGGGCCTGCTGGTGGGACCCAGAAGTGTCGGAAGGAGGAACCAGCTCAAATGCCTCCATCCCAACCCAAACGGGGCAGTCCCTGAAGCTTCCCGAGTCTCATTACCAACTAAACCCTGCCCCAACCCCAAAACCCTCAGACGTTTGGGAGCCGGAAGCAGGGGAGGAGATGCTGGATGAACAACAGGAGTAAGAACCAGGAAGTGAGGACTGAACCAAAGTCGAAGCGACTAAAGCCCTCAGGTTTGGGTCCCTATAACCAAGTGGGGCAGCTGCGGGACATCCTGGTGGGAAACCAACCTAGCACGTTGCAGCAACCTAAACCTAGCATACAACGCGGATTCTGCCTGTACCGTAATAGTAATGTCATCAGAATAGTACTGGAGAACAAGCAGAGAACACGCCTCACAAGACTCCGGGTCAAAGGTGTCGTCGACCCAACAGGCAGCCTGATGGAGGCAAAAGAGATGACTGTCACCCTGAGACAAGGGCACACAGTAATCTTCGAACCTGCACAAGGCAGGCAGGAATTCAGAAGACTCATCCATAGGTCCACCAAGCCCCAGCAAGGTTTTCCAGGGCCCGTAGGCTGACTGTTACAGGAAGCCCGAGCAAGGTGCTGCTAACCAGTTAAGACCCAAAGCTAACAAGGAGAGAGATAAAAAATCTGAAACCCCTGCAACATTTACAATCACGGGGACCTAGTGGAATGCCACCAATATATTTTAAGTGGAACTATAGCCACACCAGGCAGACCCCCTTTCCCCAGGCAAGGAAAACAAAAACCAAAGAAAAATCCTGCAAAAGTACAACGTCCCTAGAGGAAACAGGAACCGGCCACTGCGTAAGTAAGTAGGCTGCCCAATACCATGATGCCCCAACTAGCACAATACCAATCCCTACCCAAGGCCATACAAGGCCACGAAACTCCAGCTGGCCCTAAGGGTGGGGTAAGTGCCGAGCAGCAAAAACCCCTACGGAATTGGTTCCTGAATGCACCAGGGAAGAGAACCCTAACATGCAAGGGTAGTACTCACGGGGCACTTAGGGAAGGAGGCCTCTAAGCATATGCAGCCCTGGTACTCTTGTAGACACCTGGCCACTGCGCACAACAACACAGCAGAGGACACTACGAAGGCAAACACTGCTTGGAAAACAAGGCCAGAGAAGACGTCCGCCCTGATTTGCATTAGCAGGTCACCAGTGCAGAGGCTCCAGAGTGGATGGGGGGGGGGGGATCTGCGTGGACGAGTGACGTGGTGATGGAGTGTGACATTTGCTTGTTTCCTTGGGATTGGAGGGAGTTTTACCTCTCTGTTCAATTTTCCATTGCAATTTTCTTACCATATGGGGTCCAACCATATATGCCTAACCCCTGTCGATGGCAGATGAGGAAAACCACCAACCACAGGGGGAGTTTTCCATGCGCCTCTCTGAGGGGGCCATGTTCTGGCTCGTGATCCTCAATAGGTTGAACTCCATAAACAAATGCCCCAGTCTAATGATTTGCATATTAGCCCAATAGCTTCAGTGAGTCGAAGGGGCTCCCCACAGAAAATATGATTTTCAGTAAATTATTCTGCTTAATGGATTTTCCAAGGGCTCCCTCCATTATCGAGACGTTTATCCAAAAAATTTTAAATTTGTAGGGGAGGGCCAGTGATAAAATTTTGTCCATTTAGATGAGCTCCAGATTTTGGCAGTGCCACTTAGGGAGAAGTAAATATGGGCATGTTTTGGTTACATAAATTTAGAAATTTGGGGAATCAGAGGCTGAAAAATTGAGAACATGCTATAATATAAAAATAAGGTACAGTAATGCTCTAATATATTCCAATTTTAATAATTAATGTAACATTATGTAATCATTAGTACATGTTGATATTTGAGCTATGTGATTTTTATACCATATGCAAGACCTATTTTGTCTACTTAATGATGACTAAATGAACACACACTGGAAGTTGTGCAGATTTACCGAGGATGATATTGAGCTGAGGTGTTCGTCCGATTCCTGGGATGTCACAATGGGAAGAAGCTTTCTTCTCTGATTTTTTATCTCGTTTGCAGCCTCCTTGATGCTAAAACAAATAAAAGTTGATAAGGAATTACTGTGTACTGTACCGATTAATCTATAATTAATGAAAAATATATATTTTTCTGTGGGGAGCCCCTTTGGCTCCCTGGAGCTATTGGTCTGATATACATTATATTAGTCTTGGATGGGAAGGAAATTAGATGGGAAGGAACTCCCCCCCCTTTGTCTGTACCAATCCTGTGGTGGGTCTAAATACCCCCCCTCCCCCCTATTCTAATCAGTGTGAGATAATCTGGTATTGTTAAATAAAAACCCTTTTGTAAAATTGAACTCCAAGGTGTATTCTTGTCTCATGTAGTTAGAACAGTTTATTACTGCTAAATAGACAACTGCACTCCCATTATTTATAAGAAAGTAAGAGCGGGTGTTGTTAGTGATACTCTAGGGTACGGCTTTCAATCCCGTACCTTACAATAGTCGTAGTGACTTGGCACTTTCTCCTAATATTCCCCCCCCCCCTCCCTGGAGTTGGAAGGGGAAGCCCTGGACCCTTCACGCTGGTTGCCCACACCTCAGTTCATTGGCCGAAGCACTCTGGGGAGGTTGTCAATACTGGCCTCAGTTTCCTGCAGGATTTTATGCACCTGTGGTGTTTTCCTGCTGTTTGTAGCGCGGTGGCCGGGAGTAACGTAGTGTACTGGGGCTGCATGTGCTTAGGGCTGCCTTCCCTAAGACCCTGTAAGTACTACCCTTGGCTTCTAGGGTTGCCTTCCCTAGGGCCTTCTGGACCTCACTCCCATAGGGGTTCCTGCTACTCAACATTTACCCTGCCCTTGAGGCCAGCTGAGGTTTTGTGACCTTTGGTTCTGGGTAGGAATTGCTGTCGTTGTTACCGGTTGGGGCGCATTGGTGCTGCACAGCACCAATTCGGAAGGTGAGCTTCCGATCACCGGATTGCTGCCTTCCCGATCACTTGCTTGATGTGTACACGGATGCCTTGTCTCTCAGCTGGGGCCTAGAGGCCAGCTGGACACTGGCCTCTAGGGGTCGGGTTGGTGAGCTTCATGCCGGCACAGAGGTTTCTGTTCTTTCAGTCCTGATGGACGTTTTCTTCGGATGCAGTCGTTTCCTTCTTTTCTGGTGAAGAATGAGACGGCAGGCTTCCAGAGGGGCTCTTGGGTTATTGACGCTTGGTTGGTCAGGCCGGGAGTGCATCATATGTTGTGTCCGGGTTGCATCTCGGAGCCGTTACCTGCGCACCTCGGCTTCTGTAGCTATGGATGCACATTGTTTTGATCAGATTTCCCTCGTTCCCTGTTCCAGGGCTCAGGTCTCTCAGGTCATCCACAGGGTTAATAAGTCTACCCTCATGCCCAAGATGTTCGTAAGTATGCTGGTCTGGCTGCTGTGTTTAGGAACGTGTCTTGGGCTGCCATTTGGGCACAGGGGTTTTGGAGGTCGAACAGGATCCTGGCCACCCATTCTTTGGTGACAGTTCCTGGTCACAGTTGTTCATGTGTTGCCTTGGGTCGCAGATTGCAGCCAGTTGTCTCATCTTCGAGTTGAGGCACGCAGTGTGGCTGCCTTCTGGGTAAGTCCCCTTTTTACTTATCTTTGGTTACGTAGCTCCAGGGAGCCAAAGGGGCTCCCCACAGAAAACCAGCGTTGAATGTAATGAAACACCATTTTCTGGGTGAGCTCCAGAGGCTCCCTGGTACCTTCCCTCCTTCCGGTCGGTGGTTTCGTTTTGTTTTTGATGCTCAGCCTCTGAACTATGGTGTGAACAGCCAGTGCGAGGGGTCCAGGGCCACCTCTTTCCCCTCTTAGGGATGGGGGAGGGGGTGGATTAGCTACACGGACAAGCGCTGCGGGGCGGTGAATGACTTTTGCTTGTTTACTTGTTTCCTTTGTTTTCATTGGAGAGTTCTTTTTCTCTGTTCGGTCTTGGGTTTTTTGCAATTTCCTACCAAGTTAAGTTTGTTTTGAGATGCCTACCTTTCTGGGTGCCTAACACCGGTCGATGGCAGACATGGAATACCCCCCAAATACAAAGTGGGTTTCCTTAGGCCATTGCTTCCTGTGCCTTTCTGAGGGGGCCATGTTCTGGCTAGTGGTTCCTGGTAGGCAGAATTCCATTACTGAAGCCCCAGACTAATATAGTGCATATCAGTCCAATAGCTCCAAGATAGCTCCAGTCCGATATATATATATAAATATATATATAAAATGTGTATGTGTGTGTGTATAAAAATAACAGTATGCCATTCCTGGATGTACTAATAACAAAAAAAAATAACAGGAGCCTCTCTAACCACCAGCATATATACTAAGACTACAAACATAGGATTATGCCTAAATGGCAGGAGTGAGTGCCCTCTAAGATACAACGCCAGTGTTCTCAACTCTTATATTCGTCGAGCCCTTAGCCACTGTTCTGAATGGAGCAACGTGAGTAGGGAGTTTGAAAGAACAACTCAGATGTTGGTGAACAATGGATATAGCAACACGGAAATAAACACTACTATAAGATGACACCTGGACCGATGTTACAATCCTGAACCAAGAACAGAAACCATAACACCTCCAATAAAATTATATTACAAATCAACCATGCACAGTGAACATAAAAAAGAAAAACGAATACTGAAAGAAATAATCCATAAAGGAGTACAAAGCATAACTCCTAACCAAAACATAGACCTAATCATATTCTATAAAACAAAGAAGACTACCGACCTCCTTATTAAAAACAGCCTGAAGCCGATGGAGAACCCTTTACAGCAGTCAAATGTGGTATATATGTACACCTGCCACCATGAAGGATGTAGCCTTCAATCTAAGTACATAGGTATGACGTCGACCAAGCTGACGTGGTGTTTGACCTGTCATCTTCAATCAGGTGCCCCAAAAAATCCCATGAGACAAGCCCATAACATCACCCTAACAAGAGAAATGTTGAGTAAAAACACTTGCATAATAGACAAAACACAAGATGTAAGAAGATTACAAAATCTTGAAGCAATTCATATAAAAATAGAACAACCTACCATAAATACCCAAATTACGGAACTATTCACTCTACCCACCATAAGAGTAAGAATAAGAGCGGAACATGAAGATGCTAACATAGGAGCACTGCTCAACATGCTATGCCCACTACACCTGATTAATCTTTGTATGTGAATCGGACCCTATTTTTTCCTTTTCCTTCAAACTTTAACACCTTATTTTTCTCCCCTTTATGCTTTATTCTTGACCCATTTGTATTGATCTAATTGTCAACACCTGACCTCCCTAATGGTATAAATCCAATATGCCCTGTACTTTCCTATCACTTGAGAACGAACCATGTAGGTTCAAAACGCAGAGTAATTTTATAGTAAGTATAATACCTTCTACAGTTATTTATTTCTTTTTCATCACCTCGAACCAAGATGACTTTTGGAGAACTCCTCTTCCAATTAAACCAGGATGCAAAGGCACTAGTCAGAGGGATAGAACCCCTAAACAAGAAAATAATCAATACAGAATATGCAGTCATATTCAATGAAACACACATTTTATATTATACATACATATATATTATACATACATATATATTATACATACATATATATAGCCATACATACATACTTTAGCCTTGTATCTAGGTTCCTATCACCCTAGGTAAGGGTGAATTACTGACCATTCCCAGAACGCAACCCACCAATAGTTGCCTAGTTCCCAGGTACCAATTTACTGCTAGGTGAACAAAGGAATTAGGTGTAAGAATTTGTGGCCAACCATTTCTGTCCCACCTGGGAATCAAATCTGGGATCTCCGGTTGTGAGTTGAGAACAAAGCCAATTGTTAATGTAGGCAGTATTAGAGACATTACTACTGAGTAGTATTTAAACAGCATACACAATGTGAACAGTATACAGCAAAGCATGTTTCTGGGGAGTTAGAGGGATGCGAGTGAGTTCAATCCCACCCACTGCCATAACATTTTCTCATAACGTATACTGACTGACACTTACTTCAGGACAGTATTGATGCAAACAAATGACTCGACCTGGCCAGTTTGCTTGTTCACTTCAAGGTACCCTCTTGATCTGAGCGTTACATGACTTCCATCCCGACACTTAAGCCTATAGGACACAATCCCTTGTCCTTGCGTACTGGTAAACACTGTAAAGAAATATTAATATATACTGATAAACTGTATTACCTGCATTCAGGTTTACTGCTAGTGCTTCATTTACTTACTGTACTTAAGTCACTTTGGACACATATACAGTATGTATAGCAGTTACCAATACTAATGCATCATCTGTGAACATAGACATTTAGCTTTGAACTCTCTCAGGCATGCAATTTTTGTAATTTGTGGATCATTTACTTATCATATTTAGGTCTTTCTAAACTACTTGTTACATGTAGTCACTTGGACCCCATATACAGTATAGCAGCTTTCAATAGTTCAGCATCATCTGCAAATACGTAATTCGTACACACTATGAGCATGATCGGTGCCAATACAAAGCTTGATGAACCCCAATTGTTATCTTTCTCAATCCAGACACTATACCCTACAAGAGTCCCTCATCAATCTTGGAAAGGAAATATGTCATCCATGTTAGCACAATATTGTACCTTGTACCTTTTGTTTGGTGCTCTAATTTTCAGAATGATGTTTTGTAGACCTTTTTGTCAATACAGTATATCAATGCCTTTTCTCTCAGTGCCTTTTTGGCTTCCCATAGCCAAAACCTGTTAGGTTTGTTAAGGTCTTCCTAGGTCAACTACTGACCTTACCCAGGAAAAAACCCACAACAGTTGCCTAACTCTTGGGTGTCTTTTTTACTGTTAGGTAAACAGAGGCATTAGATGTAAGGTAAACACTGCAAAAGGAAATGGGGCCCCAAATGCTTCTGTCATTTTTGCAGGAATTAAACCAGACACTTTTACCTATGACCTGACTGTAGAGAGCACCGCACCACAGCACCCATGCAAAAGTAATTTTATCAAAATGCTGAATTAAAATCTATACTGTAGTTTAGAAAGCAGAGCTAATTTGTTACCTTGTCTCATGTAATAACACTTACCGGTACATTGTATTTTCTTAAGTCACATAAACAATTTTGTTATATTTACCCTAAGTTCTTGACAAATATAGTTTGTAGGCAAATACACAGTAGTAGAAGTGTACTGATATCAATATTTTGACTGATAATGGTACCTCCGTACAGTACATCTCTACACAGAAGAGTAGTGGTGGTGGAGGTGAAGGTGAAGGTGGTGGAGGCCAAGACTGTCAGTAGTTTCAAAGCATTATATGACAAAGAGTGCTGGGAAGACAGGACACCACGAGCGTAGCTCTCATCCTGTAACTACACTTAGGTAATTACACTTAGGTAACACTTAGGTAATTACAAAAGTTCCATGAACATTCCCTTGTGTGCGTGTCTACTATTGTACATTCTTGATTGAGATTTCAACTGGAACTAAATGTCTTCCTGTGTCAGGTAAAACTTGTATATAATATAACTAGATCAGCTATCGAGTATTGCTCAGGTCTTGCTCCTTTAACCACTGTGATGCACCGAGTTTATTGTGACATTCCCCGTGTGCATAAAATCAAGTGTTCGCAAAAATTTTGTTGATCTTTGTAAAATGATAAATTCCCTTCCCTGAACATGTACATGTAAAAAAAAAAAAAAAAATAAAAAGTTCCACATACTTTGGGTGTGGGGATGTGGAGAAGAGGGCGTCACAGGCTGGTCGCCCGTGCGTTAAGCTCCAGAGGCAGTCACGTGTGCCATTCAAGCACCGCAAGTTGCCACAAATGTATTTTCAATTATTTGTTATATATATTTGCAATGCGGTTTTATTTCATTTTTATCGTATATGATGAATATTTGTGTACTTTACAATATGTATACAGTAGAACACTCATAATGTTCCATGGAACTGTGATACATGTGTCAGTAATGTGTCCACAATAAATGTTTATTGTTGCAATATTACTTGTTCAAAATTCACTAAAATTACAATATGTACAGTTTCACACACTATTTACACAGTAACACACTGTATTACACACTCAGTACTTCGGAAGTGAGTGATAAACAACAAAACAGTCCATGGTACACAGCGCGACTTTGCTCTCGTTGCGCCAGGTACAGATAGATTTTCACTTCCTGTTTCTTCGTTCTGTGTGCTTGCAAATAACACACTCACGTACACCCTTGGCTTTAGTACCTGTAGGTGGTATGTAGCCAAGCTTGTAAAGTGTAAGGTAGTCTTGAAAAGATTATAGGAAAAGATCAATTTGTAAGGTAGTCTTCAAAAGATCACTTTGTACAGTCCCTCACTGGAAGAGATTCAGTCATTCTGGAAGAGATTCAGTCAATCAGGAAGCAAATCAGCCATTCTGGAAGAGATTCAGCTATTCTTGAAAATATCTATGGAAAACACCACCATGGCAGCCGCTAACACTGTTCATCTATGCTACTTGAATCAGATGCCTCATCACTGAACCCAGAAAACGATTCATCTATGTATCATCTATAAAAATTGGAGATGGCATGGGTGGACAAGAGTGGTGCTCAAAGCTACAACTGGATATGCTCGATGTATCGTCCTCATCGGTACTGTATCACTTGCATCCGACCTTTGTGTTAGGTCCTTATTGCGCCTACCTTCATCAATATCATGACCCTTATGTTATTCAAACAATAAGATCTGAATTTCACAGACAGAGAGCAATCTTTCAACACCACATCAGACAGGTGTTTGGGAGACAGAGGTCCGTGAGCCACCCATGGTTGCTCACTCAGTACTAAGCCAGCTGGGCAGCCTGGGCATTTTTTCCAAGATGGCTGCCTCTCACTGGAGGTCCCAAGAGTCCATTCTGTACACAACCTGCTACGAACGTATTTTGAATGGGTACAAAATATTCAAAAAGAGTTTTCTCGGTTGGCGCAGTTTCCCACCGACCGAGTTTTCTCAGTTGGTGCAGCACAGTGGTTAATGTCTGCTATGTTATGCGTAGCTTTCATTTTTATTTATTTTAATCTTTGTATATTTATATATCAAGATTGCTTTATTTAAGTTGTATATTATAGTGTGTGTGTGTGTGTGCATGTGCATATAAGTGTAGTTACAGGATGAGAGTTATGCTCGTGGTGTCCCATCTACCCAGTGCTGTTTGTCATATGATGCTCTAAAATTACTGACGGTTCTGACATCTACTGCCTTCTCATTTAACGTGTTCCAGCCGTCCACCACTCTACAGTATATACAAAAGATAAGTTTCTAATATTTTTTTGGCATCTTTGTTTCCTTAGCCTGATTCTATGATATCATTTTCTTGAAGTTACAAGTTTCATCTTCAAGAACAGTGTTGTAAAATCCTCCATGTCTATTTTGTTGATTCCTGATACTATTTTATACATGGTTATCATATTACCTCTTTTCCTTGTATCTAATAGTCTTGGCATGCTTAAACACCTCCAGTCTCTCCTCGTAGCTCATGTTCTTAAATTCCACAAGCAATTTTGTAGCATGTCTTTTCACCCTTTCTAATTTATTTGTGCTTCTTCAGATATGGGAACCAAACCACTCGTGCATATTCCAATTTTGGTCTCTCAAATTGTGTGTGAACAGTTTCTTTATAATTTCTGTCCAAATATTTAAATGCAGTTCTGAAATTTGCCAGAGCAGCACAGTCTCCTCTAATAACACTCTTTACGAGGTCTTCTGGTAACAGCTTACTAGCCAGAACTACTCTTACATCTCTCTCCTTGTCACAAGTTTTTAATATCTTTCACATAATTTGTAGACTAAGTGTGGGTTGTTCTCCTCTATTCTGCATTCCACTACGTGACATTTATTTATGTTGAATTCCATATACTGCATGTTGCTTTATAAATTTATTTTGTCTAGGACATTTTGGAGGGAAATACAGTCATCTAAGTCTGTGACTCTACTTATATGTCATTTTATATAAATTGAATAAATCTGTACAAATCTCTGGTGCGCTCCAACTTGGATTATTGTATCCAACTACAGATGCAGGTAATGTATATCAAAGATCTCTTCCTCATTCCTGGTAAATATTAGGTCCAGTATTAATGGAACATTTCCCTCCCACATTATCACTGGGGGAAACATGAATGTTTCCAGAATGAAGCAGAAGTCTGTCAGTGCAGAAATAGTGTGTATTTGTATCACAGGCCTCTCAGTGGGGCGAGTTATTGGTTATTAGTTACATTATCGTGATTTATTCAGTGCACATAATTATTCAGCTTAGAGCTTACTACAACTTGGTTAAAATGAAACATACTTAGCTTCTGTGCAACTATGGACCACACCATATCATCAGGGTGCATGTAGTTGAACGCTGATGTTCCCATCACCTCGGATGGCATCAGGCCGGTTACAAAAGATATCCTGAAAGCAAAACATGACAAACAATTAATCAGAAAACAAACAATAAAATGGAAGTATAAAACCTTTCATCAATGTTGTATAAACTAAGAAATTCTGAATATTCTTATTCAATGCAAATGTATTTCTAATGTGATTTAAAGGCTGGGGGGCCAGAAACAGAAACTTTCCCAAATATTTAACCCACTAGGCCTAAAAACTCCAAATCCTTAGGGATGTCATGTTTTACCTGAATTTATTTGAGGCCCACTTACACTAGTTGCCTCAATGAGGAGAGGAAGCCAGGAAGCCATTAGACAAGCTTTCTTGTCAAATGGCATCCGGAACCTTGTCCGGAACCTTAGGACTACGAATCTAGAGCGCTGTCCACTCAGCTGTCATAGACTTAGTAGCTAAATTAATATGTAATAAAGAGGAAGTGGCAATACACCTAGATACCTCTAACTCAATTGTCAAAACTATATTACTCCACACTTTCAGGTCCAAGAGAAGAGAAATCATAGACACTCAACATCCAGGAGGTACAAATTTTAAAATTATGATCTGTTTAGATCTGATGCACATATATATATGTTCAGTACAAAATGCCAACCAGACAATGCAACAGGAATTGCCAGTAACAGGCTACTGTTACCTTAGGTAATTTACCTGAACTGTACTTAATTATAAGTACTGTACTAGCATTAATTAACCTTTATTTCTTATTTACTACCATATTCCCGGGAATATACATATTCCCTTATAATTCAACAATTATAAGAATGATACACACCTGTGATCCGTGTATAATATTTTTCCGTCCATTCCATGCCGAGTAATGTATTCATCCTGTGTAGATTCCACAAGTGAAAGCTCTGTGATTGGCCGATCCTTTACCACTCGTACAAAACTAACCAGCATGTGTGTTCCAATTCTACTCGTGGGGACGTTTGCTGACTGGCTGTCTCCATCAACATCAGATTCATAATCATCTTCATGATCTGCAAATTAAATGAACATAAAGCCTTTAAATCATCGTATAAGTCTTATTGATGGGGACAAGATGCCTGCTTTCAGGTTTGGATTGAGAGGGTTTCCCCTTTTTCCCCGGATCAAACTACGGGCCCCTTCCCAGGGTACAACCCACAGCAGGTGCCTAACTCCTGAGTATCTATTTACTACTAGGTGAACAGAGGCATTAGGTGAAAGGATACAAGCCAAAATATTTCTATCCCACCTGGGAATCGAGTCTGGGATCCTCACTTGTAAATCGAGAATGTAGACCATTGTCCTACAGGACCCATATGCCAAATCCTTAATAACGTAAATGATACTGGATATACTTCTAAGTTTTGAAAATGAAATACAAATTGTTGCCTTATATATATGGCAACTTAAATTATATAGGGGACTGCAGATGAGGAGTCACAATAACGTGGCTAAAATATGTTGACCAAACCACACACTAGAAAGTGAAGGGACGACGACATTTCAGTCCGTCCTGGAACATTCTCAAGTCGATTGTGTGACTTCACTTTCTAGTGTGTGGTTTGAGCGATATATAGGGAACTGCTTACAGGCTTTTGTTTAAAAGAAATCAAATCATTTTAATATTTACTTGAATTTACCTGAATTAATCTGAGATTGAAAAAGCTTAATTTATATTCTCTAGAAAGGCAGAGGTAGGGGTGACATGATTGATGTATACAATTCATTCAGTCAGGGGACAGGGAGCCTGTCTCCTGTAGACATTAGGCTTATATCGAATTTCCCCAAGATCAAACTAATGGCTCTCCCTAGAATGCAACCCTCACAACAAGTTCATTAATTCCTGAGTAATCTTGTTATCTTGAGATGATATCGGGGCTTAGCGTCCCAGCGGCCCAGTCCTCGACAAGGCCATTTTTTTGTTACACATCCCTAGGAAGCAGCCTGTAGCACCTGTCTAACTTCCAGGTACCTATTTACTACGAACAGAAGCACTAGGGTGAAAGGAACTCTGGCCATTTGTTTACACCTTTGCCGGGGATTGAACCCGGAACCTTAAGACTATGAATCCCGAGGGCTGTCCACTCAGCCGTCAGGACCCATAATACTAGTCTATAGACGAATGTTGTCATGCATCCGTGATGAGGCGGATTTCGTCTATGCTAGAATTAATTAAACTTAAGAGAGAGAACTATTTTCTTTTAATATTCAATTTGTGATTTATTTTGAGTATTGCATCTGCACAGTAACTGGTAAAAAGAACTTCTGAACAATCAAACACATCTGAACACATCTGTTACGTAATTTTATACAAAATTTGAACAAAACTTTAACAAAGATACAAACTACCATATTTATCCACAAATGCGGAAAATTTAATTTAAATTTTAATTTTAAATAAACAAATTTAATTTAAATTTTAACTTACCACTAGATGTATTTGTTCCATTAGGTGATGGTGCCAATACACAAGGTAAGGAGGTGGTGGTTGCACTTTGGGGTAAGGGTCGTACCTGACCAACCACGTGGATAATCTCATAGCGCCCAGGATCATTACGTGACAAGGCTTTCTCCATCATACGGCAAAAAAAGGACCGTCGGTTGTTTTCTGAAAAGTTTAATTTTAATTAAAAATTTGAAGTTAATTATTAATTTTAAGATTATGAACCACAAAATAAATTCTTTGAGCAGGCCACTGGTTGCATCCAAGCCAATCTCCAGGACACTGCTTAGACACCAGATCCTCATCAACTTTGAGCCTCGCCACAATACATAACTTTCAAAGGTCTTTTTTTTTTATATAGTCTTGGGACAGGGAGACACTGGAGAGCAGAGCTCAATCACACCATGTATCACTATGGCACCAAATACTGCTGACTATGACACCAAAAACAGATAAAAACTCTCATCTGCCGCCAAGTTATACTACAGGGTCGGGAAACCATCTACCCAACTTAATCCTTACACTGCTTTAATCACTACCTGCAATACCCTCCTATATATACAGATCAAATTGTGATTATTTACCACTTGATTTGTCAATTATTTTTTGTCAGGTGCACTATGAGGTTGTACTTTTAAATAGCTGAGCAGTCCAAGGGTTAAGGCCTAAGAGAATGAAGAGATTATGACGTGTCGGTCCATCCGGACCATTATCAAGTTAATTGTGATAATAATGTCAATTATCACAATTGACTTGATAACGGTCCAGGATGGACTGAAACATCGTCGTTTCTTCATCCTCTGGTGTGTGGTTTGGTCATCATTTCTTCAGCCACGTTAGTGTGACTCATCGTCTGCTTAAGACCTAAGACACATGTATGCTTGTCAAAGCCAGGACCAAATGGGTAGGAATGTAAGCAATTTAGCACCCACTCCCAATGGAAAGTTTCAATTCTCTTATTACATTATTTCTGAGCATGGCCCTGTCGGTTGATCCTGAAGCAAACTCTCAAAGGTAAAAACAATAAAATAAGGGTGACTTACCCAAGCATGAGAAAAATACCAGGCCAGTCCCCAGAAATAGGCACAAATTGCCAAACATGGAGGTTTATTTTTTATCATTTTGAGTTCTTTCTCTCACAGTCAACTTTCTTTCTTAGCTATTACCTGGTCTGTGATGCCGATTGTTTTTGAAGCACAAAATTCCACATAGCCATCACAGCCTTGCTTGAAAGCTCCTGCTGTTGTACAGCAGCATTTCTTATATAGCATTTGTTGGCAGAAGATTGAAGAGTTGCAGTTAAGAGCCCACCTCTCCCTGAGGTCTGAGCAACACCAAATTTATTGAAAGTTACTCAGCAAGTAGGAGCTGTCACATGAAAATTCTACCAAAGTGTTAAGCGTATTCAAATGAACTTTTGCCTTAAAGGAAAAGAAACTGATTATTCAGTTATACACTTCTCTGGTGTACCCCATCTGGACTACTGTATCCAACCATGGACACCTCACATTCAAAAGAACATAACTGCTTTAGAGAAAGTTCAATGCAATACGATAAAAATCATACTAAAGTATATATATTTTTTATATTTACATCTTCAATGTTAAGTAATATCCTAAAACTTATTTCAGTATGTAAACCTATCATTAATATTCTAATTTTTATTATATATTTGTTACTGATAAAATCATGCTATATTTCACTGAATAAACCCATAAATTGTCAGTATATTTACCTGAATTTACCTGAGGGGGCCCACTATCTTTCTAGTGGCCTCAACAGGGACAGCTTATTAAAAGTCCCTCATTGTTTCTGAAAATCTTTACCAACTGGATTTTCAATTACAGTAATCTCTTGGCATTTATGGCTTCAGCAGGTAGATGGTTGCATGGGTTTATAACCCTATGGATGAAAAAGCATCTCCTGTTTTCGGTCCTAGATTGTGGCTTGTTGAGCTTGAATCTGTTGCTCCTTGTCTGTGTTACAACTGACCTTAAAGACGTTTAGATTAATATCCTCTAACTTGTTCAGTATTTTAGAGGTCACAATAAGATCAGTGTTGTTATGTTTGATTTGCAGTGTTGTTAGCCCTGTGGCCCTCAACTGTTCCTAGTATGAGAGTTGACTTTATTTCACTAGGGTCCCAGTATGTAGTACAGTTGGGTTCATTCTCAACTCAAAATCGAGAACTCCTGGTTCTCATCCTGGAGAGGACAGAAACAGTTGGGTGCATTTCCTATCACCTAATACCTCTGTTCAGCCTGTTGTGAGGTTGCATCCTGGGGAGGGTCAATAACTCGACCTTGGGGGGACCTTGATATAAGCCTAACATGCATACTTTATATACACTGGCTGCCTGTCCCTTGACACACTGAATTACTATTATTATTATTATTATTATTATTATAGAGAGTATACAGTATATGAATAAACATTGAAGCTGTAAGATGGAATTGTGAATTCATCCCTGAATGCCTCAAAAAGTACCAGTACTTCTGGTTGAGCTTAATTCTTTTACTATGCACCCCATACCCATTGCGTGGGTGGTAGTGGAAAGGGTTACAGAGGCACATAATGGGCTCAGGGGCTGAACCCCACAATTCATTTAGCTAAGCAAGTTACAATCTTGATGAGCTAGTTACAAAATTCAATACACATCATCACATCATCAATGGGGGCTCGAGATCGACCACAAGTACAATTTCTTTCTAAGTTAAGCAACTGACATGTGGAGAGCTAGGGGTCACAATTGATATGTTTGTCCTGTACACCACCCCTACCCAGTGGACAGCGGTAGATAGGTTACAATCACTTAGTTACTACCTACAGTTAGCCTTCTGGTTGAGATACTTGTAAGTTTATCATGGTGCAGTTTAGTTTACTTGCAGTTTATCATGGTTTAGTCAGTAGTGCATGTGCCTAAGGAGTTCAGGGTCAGGGGTTTAATTCCATCATGCAGCCTCAATATTTTTTTCATAGATTTATTAGGTTCTTATGATTTCATTGTGCATGGCCATATATATATTACAGTACTAATACAGTACATAGTTTCAATATTTGACAGATACTCAGTGCTTACTGTGCATACGTGTATTGTACATATAAAGTGTCATTATAAACAAAATTATAAATAAAGCTATTATTAATACTGGTGCATGAGAACCAATAGAAGTAATTTTAATATGTAGATTACCTTTTGGGGTGAGCTGCTGCTGGAAGATATCGTGGTCATCGGGATGAATGACGTTGTAGATGCTGTGTCCCAATAAGTCAACCTGCGGAAATGTAACGATACAGTACAGTAAAACAAAATCTTTCCAAAGTTCTACAAGACAAAGACTTATCCTTGCCAAAATGCATATATTATTTTAAGAATGTTGTTTATTGATATAAACACAAATATTTTACTTAAAAATACCTATACCATATACCAATGCCAATTTACAAACCGTTCAGTTAAATTTAAATAAATTTGTTTGGATTCTCAGGTGATCCTCCCACACCCACAAAATAACAATTTTATGCCTGAAAATACATCACAATACAGGTTCACAAAATACAATAAATTAAGGACATTACAATACGCTTTTTTAAATACAAAATACAAAAAAATAATTCCACCAAGTATTAGGAATCAGAGCGCCAGTGAAATGGAACATAAGGGACATTCAACCAAAGCATTACAGCAGGGAATGAAAGGAGAAAAAATGGAGGAAATTGGTTCCCAAAAATATTGTATACAAATAGATGGAATAAGTAAAATGTAGTAAAATGGAATAAGTAAAATGACCAAGAAAAAATTGAGCAGTAGTTTGAAAGTTTGTGTTTCGATGTTAAATTGAATAACAAAATATTTAGGAGGGTGAAGTGTGAATTCAAGAAATGACAGACTTTGATAATAGATAACATGTACAACCATGTACAAAAAAAAGCAACACAGAAAGAAAATCTTCAAGAATCAACTTTACCTGACTGTGGCCAAAGAACTGATCAACTGCTTCAGTAACGTAAACCACTTTGCCTGTAGATGTAACCACTAGCAGGAACCCCCCCACAGCCTGTAAATATGATAACCATACAGTATTTAGTCCAACCAAAAATGGGTGTACAGTAAACCTTATGACTCTTGTAATGATTAAGAAGACTGGAGCAGTGTAAGGGTTAAGAAGACTGGAGCAGTGTAATGGTTAACAAGATTGCAGTTATGTAAAAGTTAATGTGTGTGCAGGGTTTGGTAAAGTGAGGAAGGACTTACTTCTGCAAGGCTGCGGGTGACATTGGCACCAAGGCTGGCTGGCAGTCTTCCGGAGTCACCATCATCCTCCTTCAGTACTATGAGTAAAAATATGTTATTAAGCTTTTTATCCAATAAAAGTAAGATCAATTTCTTCATCTAAAATAAATGTGAATTTGAGAGTTCTTATCAAACAAACAAGTAAAGCCTACCATTAACTTTTATTGCTACTAGAGGAGGAGGAGGCCATACTACCAATAATTTGGTAGTTGAGGCCACAACACAACTACCAAATTAATAACATTACATTAGATTGATGAAGAAAACATCAGGTAGGAGCATCAGTCAGAAAAGCTAAACAAACCCTTGGAATAATCAAGTGTACCTTTGACTTTAAGGAAAAGATAGTGATTCAACTGTAGAAATTTCTGGTGCGCCCCCATTTAGCTTACTCTATCCAAGCATGGAGACCACATTTTCAGAAGGACATAGAGCTGCTTTGGAGAAAGTGCAACACTGAGCACATACATGCATACAGTATACCGTATATGCAAAGGGAATGATCTGGAAACAGAACAGACATAGGCTGGTCGGCGTTGGCTTAAGTTAAAAATTTGAAATTAGGCAAACCCCAATCAGCCTATGTCCATCCGGAACCCCAGATCATTTCCCCTGCAAAGTCTGGCCTCCTGCTTTGGACAGATAGACAAACAGACATTCTCTCTTACTGATATAGTTTTTATATATAATTTGCCTTGTCAGGGACAGGAAGCTTATGTGTAAATATGTATACTTGTATCAAAGTTTCCCCCCTAAGGTCCAACTAGTGATCCCCCTCCAAGTATGCAACCCCACAGCTATTGTCTAACTCCTGTGTACCTATTCACTGCTAACAGAGACATAAGTGAATATATGCTGGGCACCTACTCTTGTGCATGCGTATATAGTTAGCGGCGAGCCTAAGGACAGAGGTCTTGTCAATACGCTTGTTGGCTCCAGTGCCCAGTGGGACAATGCCGGCCAGCTCATTGACATAGTGGTTCAGCTTGTCTCTACGCATCTTCTCTGCCATGTTACGCATCTCCCGCGAAGAGCTGTGGGGATAAAACAAAATTAGAATTGTATTGTGTGCCATAAGGGATTCAAAAACCTTTAAAATGGTGAACTAAAACAATAAAAATGACAAAATTAATCTCAAAGTACATGAATCCTCCCTTATGTAGAGATTAAGGGCCAAAATCTTAAAGGCTTTTTACTTAATTTATTTTTGTTTTTGTATTACTATAATAAAAAGTATTCTTTAGATACACTTAGTGATTTATTTGATAAAAATTAGATAACCCTAAAGTTGCTGACAGCAGTGCAAAAACACACTGGCTACACTGGGAAAGTTGCCAACTAATATTTTGTTTTCCATTTTATTTTGTTATGAAAATTAAAAATAATGAGATTATGTTAATACAACTCAGTGAAAGTAAATACAGAGTATGCTTCATGTCCACTTTGTTGACACTTCTTACTACTTCCGTATTCTTCTTTTTCTTTGTGCATCAGACAGGTGCTTGCATCTCTTTATTACTACATTATCCATCAGTTTCAGTTAATAGGAGCTGTTCTCCTTATCAACAAATGTTCTTCTTTTTAAAAAATGTGTGTAAAATCAACTTCTGAAATATTTTGATGAAAGTTTCACGATGCTGAAGCCAATAAGTTGGAGATTTGTTTAACATTTTTAAGTAATTTCTACATAATTCAAATATTTTTCGCTCCCCAGCCCCTTATGCTTAGCAGTGTAAGGGTTAAGGGCCTGCCAAAATGCTATGCATGTTAGTGGCTTTGCACGAATGTAAAAATACCAAGCTTATGTAGTCTCACCAACCTATTATATCGTGTTGCAAATAAATTATTATTATTACTATTATTATTATACACTTATTCTAGAATGGGTAAATATCAAACAAATAATTGAAGTATACAAATCGATAAAACAAAATGATGAAAGTGTATAACAAAAGGATATCAATAAAGTACTATATATATATATATATATATATATATATCAAAGTAAAATAAAACATGGAACAATGGAATAAATAGAATAAATTTAAGTTCAGTAAAGATCTTGGAAAATCCTGATTTGAGAATAGGGTTGCAGATTTATGTCACATATTACTGGGTAATGTAACAGACATTGGATCAATTAGTGTCTTTCGAGTACAGTATATATTAGGTGTATCGGTATATAGTATATGGATGAGTTTGGGAGGATATAAATGGGAGCGGCCTCGCATGAGTCTATAGGAGCTGCTTCACAGGGGCCAACAAGCATTTTTGCAGTTCCATTAAATCTAGAGTTCATATGTTCCATGTTCTTTTGCTTAACACACCGCCATATATATAGTAGACCCTCATAGAACACTATAATTATGTTCCTGATATATGACATGTTATACAAATACCTTATAGTATGCATATTAATTAACGAGAGGGGAAAATAGGGCTGTTCCCAGATATCAATTTAGTACATTATAGGAATATTTTCATATAAAATAATGTACATGCATTTTGTGTGAATAGGGTTTGAGTAGGTGTGTGAGCAGGTGGGTTTGAATAGGTGTGTGGGAAGGTGGATTTGAGTGTATTCTTAGGTTAGTGTAGGTTTGTGAGAGTTTGTTCAGTGAGTGTGGTTGGGATTCAGTGGTGGGTTGGTTGGTGTGAGTGGGTGTTTGAATGGGTGATAACTTATGGATTTGTGAGGACCCATAGCCTCACAAATATATAAAAACATTATCTTTTATCTGTGAAGTCATATGAGTACAGTACTATATATTCTGCTCTTACTTCTCCTATTATATATTTATATGTATATATGAGTGGGTTTATATATATACTAGCAGTACCCAGCCACGCATTGCTGTGGCTCAGCAATGCATGTGCGTTGCTGAGCCACAGCAACCTTACCTGTCCCCCAGTCCTCCCCACAATCCCCTCTCACCCGTCTCCTCAGCCTCCCAACCATTCCTCACTCCACAATCCCCTCGTCCTCCCCACTCCACCATTCCCCACTCCCGTTCCCTCGTCCTTCCCCACCATTACCCCCTCCCTTGTACCATCGTCCTCCCTACCACCTCTCACTTCTGTCCCCTCGTCATCCCCACCACTCCCCACTCCCTCATCCAATGCCTTCCCAAATGGTCTGATGTTCCCATCAGAAAATTGGGAACATGAAGTGATCTGATGTTCCCATCACTGAAATATAAGAAAAACAGTTAAAAAAATGAAATGAAAATATGAAAAAATAAAAAAATAAACTATACTGTACTCACGAAATAAATGGTATGGTAAACAACACAGCTCAATTCCAACGCAATTCACACAAAATAATTAAATCAAAATGAAAAAAATAAAAATCTATGAAAATTCAATTTATCAATGCAATCAGAAACATTGAAATGGAATTGTAACATATTTAGTATACCATGTGTGTTGCTCTTACATGCAACAGATGGGCTCTGTTTTTCAAGAAAACCATAGTTTTACTTGTCACAGATGTGGCATCTATACTTATTCTTACGAAATGAACGGTATGGTAAA